TGTGATTTGGCAGTTATGTCATGATGTGACTTGGCAGTTATGCGATGACGATGTGATTTGGCAGGTAGGCATTGCTGTAGTCATTCTCCATCTTGTGCTCTGATGTGGTCCTCCTCCATTTTCACATAGCAGCACCGATTCTTCCAAGAATGGCCTGGTCTTTGGAACCCACCGTGTCAATAAGTGAGGTCCACGTGCAATTCAGTGACATTAATTACACACACCCTGTTGTGCAACTGTCACCACTGCCTGCTTCTGAAATGCTTCCACAGAAAGCAGGGCCCTCCCGGCAATAACCCCTGTTTACCCCTCCCCTGTCCATGTGGTTAGGTGCCACTGCGTGGGTTCCAGCCCACAGCGGCCCTACGCATGACGGAATGGCACTGCCTGGTCCTGCGCCGTGCACGATTGTCCTAGGCCCGAGCCCATCGTTGCAGCCACTGTGTCCGTCCATCTCCTGGAAGGCCTTCCTTCCTCTTTTTCGCTGCCCCTGCACTTTACCAAGCACGATGTCCTTCTCCAGGGACCGGTCTCTCCTGACAACATGCCCAAAGTACATGAGACGAAGTCTCCTAAGAGGCAATATGATTGCACTTCTTCCAAGACCGACTTGTTTGTTTTTTGGGCAGTCCCTGGGAATGTCAATCTTCGGTGTCCAACTTGCACATGCACATGAGGCGGTGGACACCGCCCTGGCTTGAGTCAGGCGCACCTCAGTCTTCAAAGAAAAGACCCTGATTTCCAACACTCGCAAAGAGTTCTTGCGCAGCACACTGACCCAGTGCAGTGCATTGTTCCATCCCTTAGCTGTTGCTTCCACGAGCATTGATTGTGGAGCCAAGCTAGACCACCTCCTTGACAACTTCAACCTGTTCTCCGTTGATCACGATGTGACCCGAGTCCGGCTGTGAGGGTTTGGGTCCTCTGGCACTGAGCTGTGAGCCATCCTGAAGACTAGCCTCCTTGACCTTCAGTAGCAGTGCTTCACGGCCTCCTCACTCTCAGCAAGGGAGACCGTGTCCTCTGCTGACCACGGGTCCCTAAAAAGCCTTCCTCTGGTCAGATGCTGCATGCAGCCTTCCGCAGATAACCCCCAGCCCACGATCTTTTGTCTCTTTGCAGGCGCTTAGTCTAGTGGTCTCCTCTAAGGGAGGCCACACCACACTTGTCCTGGGGGTCTGGTTCCCTTTACTCCGCGGCGTGTGTTTGGAGATCCATTCACCCTGTGGCCTGCATCCTTTCCCGTGCCGGTGGAGTGGTGCCCAGCGTAGGCACAGGCCCCGTGGTGTTTACTAATACAGCTGTCGCTGGACTGGAATGTGGTTTGTACTCACGGGAAACCTCCAGTGAATGCCGGTGGGCAGCGCAGACGCGTTTTGGAAATTCTGAAGCAACGAATGCTTTGCAGCACCGCAGTACCAAGCCATTTGTAAATGTGATCTCTTTCTAGGGCCACTGTGGACCTCAGGATGACACCGACTTCGGTGAGAATCATGAACGATCGTGCCAACCACAGGGGCAGCACGTTAGTGCTGATTGAGTACCTGCCGTACGCCGGGCCCAGTGCCAGACTCCGTCTGCCTTGCCCTGCTCTGTCCTTAAGTACCGGGTGATCCCCATGCCCCAAGTCTGGAAAGGAAATGCTCAGAGGCCAGAAGGCACGGGCTGAGAGCAGACTCTCTAGGAAGTGGCCCGGAGGGGATTCCAACGTGGCCCATGGACAGAAATGAATGCACTTGGACACCCCCCAGGCACAGATGGCCCTGACCCCTCTACGTCCCCAGCATACAGCCCACCGCCCTGCATACAGTTGGTACTCAATGAGTGCCCAACGGTAAATGATCAGTGCCTAGCTCTGGGCATCCTGGGGTGGGGCAGCCCTGTGGCCTCACACCGGCTGCCTCTTGCAGAGTCCTGCCTGGGCCCCCTGGAGAAGGACGCCGTGCAGGAATTCCAGCTGCGGAGGCGGCGGCTCAGGTCGCAGGCCCCCGACGGGCCCTGGAGCCACTGGAGTGACTCCGTGTGTGTCCCCGCCGGTGAGAGCGCCCAGGCCAGGGGACCTGGGCAGGCTATGGAAATAGGGCAGTGGGCGCTAGAAATAAGGTATCCGAATCAGAAATAGATGGTGGGAGGAAAAGGTGGGGTTTTTTTTGAAATAGGGTTGGACCGAAGGCCCTCAAACGGCCCGCACCCTGGAAGCCTGGGTCCAGCTGTGCCCACTTTAGGGTGCTTTCACGTGGGAACCACTGGACTAAGCTTTAGGGGGAATCATCTGCCCGAGGTCATTAAATGGCCTGCTGACTCCAAGCCTTGGAGTCAGAGAGGGAGTTTCAACGCTGTCGGAAAGCTGGGACAACTGGACCTCAGGGACAATGGCTATTCCTGGGGACAGGGACCTGGTCCAGGAAGGTGGGTGGTGGGAGAGGCCCCCCACTTGGCTTCTGGGCCTCAAGAGCTGTTTCCTCCTCTTGCCCCAGATGGTGGGAAAGGGACCCGAGGGTGGGTGTGGCTGATTCGGGAAACTCTCTAATGGCCCCCCTGATGATGCCAGGTTTCATGGGGGGTGGGGTGGGGAGGAGACAGTCCCTCCCCGCCTCCCAAACACACACTGTGTGTCTCCTTGCAGAAATCCTCCCGCAACTCAAGATGAATTGCTCCGTGGAGCTGCTCCGCCCGGATGGGAGGCGGCAGCTGAGCCTCCAAGTGCAGGTACTGGGGTCAGTGTGGGACTGCACCCCAGCCGGGGATGGCAGGAAAGGGCAGGAGGCTGGAGGGAGGCCAGCAAGTGGGGGAGCTGAGACACGAGGCCCTCAGGTGGGAGTAGGGAGCCGGGGAGGGTCACATGGAGTTAGTGAGTGTGAGCAGGGTTGGCCACAGGTGGGTTCAGACTATAGGGGCTGAGGTAGAAACCAGGAGATCAGGAAGGGGTGGAGCAGCCCAGCTGGGCACTGATGGTATGTGGGATCTGGGTGGGAGGGCACTTATTGCTCTTTGGTCCACCCGTGTCAGTGTGGGGCTGTGTCCCCAGAGCACACTACTCTACTCCACACCCTGGGGGTCCCCAGCATTCAGAACCAGCCCGAGGGAACTGCCGCCAAGACCGGTCCGTGGGGGGTGACTGCCAGTTTCTCAGCAGTCTGGCCAGCATTCGGTTTCTGATGAAAGAAAAACAAAAACGTTTTAAACTTTGGGTGCATAGAATCCGAGATGCCCCCAGGCGAGTCTCTCCTCGTGGGCTGTCCTGATGTCTGTCCACTGGACCCAGCAAGCTGCCTCTCACCCTCATAGAAGCCACCTCGACTCCCGCTGCCCGAAGGCTGCCTCGGAGACACAGGGGACACGGCAGAGGTCACCTACCACATCCACCTGCACATGCTGGCCTGCCCGTGCCAGGCCAAGGCCACCAAGACCCGGCTCCTGAAGGAAAGACTCATGCTCTCGGGCGCTGCCTACAATGTGACAGTCTTCCCGAAGAATCACTTTGGTCCTGGCCCAAGCCACTCCTGCCTCGTTCCTGCTGAGGACCACACAGGTGCTTCTGTGGGGGTGGGGCGGGAGGGCCCCTTCCGGCCAAGAACCCACTCTGAGCCACAGGCCCAAGAAACGTAAGAGGCATGTGTGTTTGAACGGTGTGTTGCAACACGCAATCGCCAGGAAACAGTGTAATGCAACATAACCATGCTGGAGCCTGCAAGCTCACCAGCGAAGCCCAGCCTCCTGGGCTGATGGCCCGTGCTTGTCAATAAAGTTTTATTCAGACCAGGACCAAGATCAGAGTGAGGCGAGTGAGGCAGGAAGCTCTCGGGAAAAGGCAGGCTCGGGCCTGTCTTTATTTAAAATCTGAATGCTTTATTCATTTTATGCACTTATACATATACATACTTTGTTCCATACGTATGCTTTTTAAAAAATTAAATAATCATTTTATTAGGGACTCATACAACTCATCACAATCTGTACATACGTCATCTGTGTCCAGCACTTTAGTACATATGTTGACTTCATCATTCTCATGACACCGCTTTCCACTTGAGCCCCTGGTACATATGCCTTTTAATTGAGGTAAAATTCACAGAGATGAGGAGCTGATACCAAGGGCTCAAGCAGATAGCAAATGTTTTGAGAATGATGAGGGCAACAAATGTACAAATGTGCTTGACCCAACGGATGCAGCCATACTGAAGTGCACCGTTCTGTGACTTTTTAGCCCAGTCACCGTGCTGTTCTGGAACATTCTCCCCACCACCCAACCCCATGAAAACCCAGTACCCGTTAGCACTTACTCTCCAGCCCACCCCGACCATAGGCTGGCCCCTCATCCCCTCTGTCTCTTTGAACCTGCCTGGCCTGGGCAGACCACACAGAGGAGACCGCACAAGATGTGCCCTTTGTGCCGGCTTTGGGCTGGCTGTCTTTCCCTAAGTCCTGTGCCCACGTGGCAGCCAGTATTGCGGGACGGAGGCCTGGTGGTGTGGCGGTGACCTTTGGGGCTGCGATCCAAAATGTCCGCAGTTGAAACCCCCAGACACTCCCTGAGAGAAAGACGGAGGAGCTCCAGTCTCGGGGTCGCTGTGAGCCGGCATCGTCTCCATGGTGATGTGTGAGTGCGAGCGAATGGGGGCCTGGTGGGTTAAGCCTTGGGCTGTTAACCATGGAGTTGGCCGTCCAGACCCACCAGCCCCTCGGAGGCTGTCTGTCCTTGTAAGGACCTACAGCAGTGCACCTTCCTAATGCCGCGACCCTTTCATGCAGTTCCTCATGTGGTGGTGACCCCCCAACCATAAAATTATTTTCGTTGCTACTTCATCACTGTCATGTTGCTACTGTGATGAATCGGGCGACCCCTGGGAAAGGGTCGTTCGGCCCCAAGGTTAAGAACCGCGGTCTACAGCCTCAGAGACCCGCAGGAGCGGCTCCGGGCCCACAGGGTCATCTGACTTCATAGAATGGACTGCAGGGCAGTGGGTGGGTTGGGGTCTGGGGGTTCGGGGGAGCTCTCAGTTTCTTGCCTTTTCCTGGCTGGGCCACCTTCCAGTTTACGCATGGACTGCTCTAGGCTGATTCATTCAGCTGCCGAAAGGCATTCGGCTCATCTTGGACTTTGGATCTTGTGAAATA